AAAGGAAAAAAAAAAAAGAAAAACTAGGTGTGAAATCAGTTCACCTTAATCCCTTGTCCTCAGCCAGCCTCCCCGCCACCCACACACCTCCATGCTCCATTTGTGACCGCCCTCCACCCCATGCTCCCCAGTGGACTGCACCTTCCAGAGCATTCTGTGCGGCATTCAGGACACGGACACACACGCACGCACGTGCACACACCTCTCCTCTCTGCTCAGTATACACACAGATTTTACTGTGACATCCGAAGCTGTCTAGAATCTCCGGTGGATAAACTGGAATTTCTTTTATGTTGTCTCTCTCTCTCTCTCTCTCTGCCAACTCAAGTATTAATCCTCTTCCAATGGAAACTCATTGCCTTGAGAGTGAGGTCGGGGTTCCTCATGTTAGGGACTTAAGAATCTGAGGCCAGGACCCCCACGCTTAGCTGTAGGGCTCAGAGGAAGCCAATGCCCCATCTGAAAGGGTCTTCTCTCTCAGCTGGGGGAGGGCCGGTGGCTGTCCCAGGATTGCACCAGCATGTTCAATAGAGAAGAGATTTTCTATATCTTTAAGCACTTATATCCTAGTCTGTGTTCCAAGTGTAAACTGTACAGTAATCAGCCTTGTGTATATGAAAACCAATAAATACTATGCAAATCAATAGAAACTAGCAGTATGTACGAAGCACTTAACAGCTCAGCTCCTGAGGACTTCTCCAGGCTGCGGGAGAAGGAGCTACAGCCTGTAGCTGGTGGCTAGTGAGTGCTCCTGCCAGGTCTTAGGTCAGCCACCACCCCGAGGTCTCCCAGAGCGAATTTGGTGCTCTCAGTCAAGGCAGCCCGCGGGATGGACCAAGCCCCTCTGCCACCACCTGGAGAGGCGGCGGAGGGGCCCTCTGCCGACCACCACGTGCCCAGGGGGAGGAGAGCGCAGGAGAGACGGCTGACCGCCAGGTGGCCCCCCCTGCCAGGAAGGAGACCCTCCTAGGCCAGGGTCCCGCCAGGGCAGGAAGGAGACAGACGGCTGGCTGTTCCTCGCCTTGGTGCCATCAGGGAAGAGCCTTAAAGTTACACCAGAGCCCCCGGCAGAGGGAGGCCCGAATCAGCACAATGTGCCCGCCCCGTGCGCGCGGCGCTCTCCAGGCCAGGAGAGAGACTGCAGGCTCTTCTCGCCCTCCCAAGGGCCACTGTTTGCGGATGTCCAGTCACCTGCCTCCCCGCCGCTCTTCCGAGGTGTCCTCAGAACACATCCGAACCTTCCAAGTAGCACAGAAGCTCCCTCGATGTCAGAGCCCCCGAGGCCCCGTGGCGTCACCAGCTCACAGGTGGCGCGGCTGGGGGCCCCCCCGCCACGTGTTCCGGTGGGTCCGGGCGGGGAGAGGGAGCCCGACCTTGCGCATCGGTCCGCGGGCCCCCAGCTCCGCCTCCGCGGGGGTCCGGGCGCACAGCATCCCCGCGGGGTCCGGGCGCAGAGCAGCTCCGCCGGCCGGCCCCTCCGCCCCGCCCCGGGACCTCGGCGGGGCCGGACTTGGTGAAGACCAAGGAAGACAGGCGCAGGGCCGCCTCCCGCTGCGATCTGTCCTCGCCTCCGCCGACCCAGTAGCCCCTGTAGAGCCGCGGCCCCGGCCCCGGCTGCGCTTTGGCTCCTCGCTCTGTCTGGCATGGCTGCTTGGCCCGCCGGCCCCAGGCCCTCGGCGGCACGCTGCGTCCCGCTGCTGGTAGGAGCTTTTAGGGGAGGGGTTTGGGGTCGCCACACGATGCCTAGAGAATGCTGCAGTCTGCACCTTAGACGCTTTTTAGAAGTTTTGGAATTACCTTGATTTTTTAAATTGTTATGAAAATGATTCTTTTCTTGACTCTCCCACCTGCTCTGTTCTCGGGAGGGAGTCCTCCCCACCCCCCATCTGATGTATAGACCATTCTCCCTACACCAGCTGAACAAATGTCAAAGTTAATAAAGAAATCGACTCATGGCGCAGGCCTCCATCTCCTTCCTGGCTGGTCTCTGGAGGGTTTGAAGGGCCGGGGCAGGGCAGAAGCCCAAGTAGGGGCCGGGAAGAGGCTGGGGGTGGCATCTGTCCCCAGGGAAGCCTGTGGCCCAGCCAGATGCCCAGGTTCTGGGAACCTGGACAACCCTTTAATCAGGACCACCCACTTTGCAAGAGGTCCCCCTGCCCCCAGATGCTGGAGCAGATTTCTGTCCCACCTAATGACTAGCACGAGATGGGGGCAATTCCAAGATGGGTGGAAGGGGTCACTACAAGCACCAGGGTACATGGCTGAGCCCACAGTGGGCATGCATTAAGGGAGGACCCCTACCCCCAGCACTCCCTCCAAAGGCATCTGGGCCCTCTACTCAATACCATTTAAAGTTCACAACATTGTAAAATGACTATAACTCAACAACAACAAAAAAATGGTTTAAAAATACCATTTAAAGTTCAAGAACTTACAAGAAAATCACTCTGTTCCCAACTAGCTCCTAACCCTTCATGCAAGGCTGGTCACCAAACTGGCCTCAGTTTCCACATCTGTTAAATGGGGGAAGGGATTAAATGATTGTTAAAGTCTCTTCAGTTTGTCATCCTGGGATTCCTGAGCACAAATGCTTTGGCCAAGCTTGGAGTTAAGTAAGAATCAAATCAAAGTCCCCATCTTTGCAGGGGAGGTGATCAAATCATGGTGGCAGGGTCGTCGGAGCCATCCCAGCCCTCAGTCTGACTCTGAAGCTTTCTCTCAGTAGCAGAAAAAGACACCCAGGCCTAGGGGCCCACTGTGGTTGTGTAAGCATTGCCCAGAGGACTTTTAAAAGCACAGATTCAGAAACACAACTGCCCGAGTTGGGCCCAGCAGCAATACTGGGGATCAGAATTAGGTTGCTGGCTTGGGAGCACAGCCAACTCAGAGAAGAACCTTTTTACTTGCTTTTAAACTAAACTTCAAGGAAAACAATCTCCAAAGCCTTTGTGAGGTCTTTCTTGCGTTAACCAATGTTATCGGAGCCACAGGGAGCATGGCCAGTTCCACCTTGAACAGCAACAGCAGGGAGTCGGGGAGCCATGCTCTGTGAAAAGGGGAGCCCTCATCATGGCCTGGGCACTCGGCCTCCCGCCGGCAGCCACGGAGAGCTTCTCCCGAGGAGCCTTCGTCCTGATCAGGAAGGGCTTTGGGACTGGCAGGCAGAGGAGGGACAGCAGTCCCTCGGTCTGGACCAGTGACATGCTGATTGCCATAAAAAAAAGGCTGCAGGGAAGGATGCTGTCCCGTGCAGAAATAACCTAAGTTATTTACCACAATTTCCTTGTTTGTAAAATGAGAGCAAGCCCCACCCCACCCCCACCCCAGGAGAGCCTTGGATGCTGTAACAATTCATTAGGAAAAGAAAAAAAAAGACATGGAGGTGCTCTGCCATTCAGTCTAGTCTCATCCATCAAATATTCACTGAGGGGCAACCAAGAGCCCCGCACAGGCACCCGCCGCTGAAATCAACGGCCATCTCAGCCACCCAAGATTTCCAACCCAGGTGCCGAGCCAGGCAGAACGTGGTTCAGATGAGTCCTCGGAAGAGGAGGAAGGGAGGACAGACGGGATCAAAGAAGGCTGCCCGGAGGCGGAGGCAGAGGCAGAACCAGGAAGCGCTCACAGTCAGCACTCCCAGAGATGCCCCACTGCCATCTGCTGCCCCAGTCTGCCCAGCAGGCTCCCTGCTCCCAGACGTTCAGGTCCCAAAGCCCAGCCTCCCCACTTACCTGTCCCAGCAAGGGAGCATCCGTGTCCCGACTGCACACTCCCCCGGAGGCTTGGGCATCTGGGCATCTCCAGACAGCAACCCTGAGCCCAACTCTTTAGGAACTGTGCCCTTTAGCTGCCTCATGGCCCTTCCAGTTACCCTCTTTTTCCTGCATGCTGGACTTGGGGGACCAGGAGCAGGTGGACCCCCTGAGAATGAACAGAGCCTCCAGAGCGTTTTCTCTCTCTCTCTC